GTGTGTGTGTTGTGTGTGTGTGTTGTGTGTGTGTGTGTGTATGTATATATATATATATAAGCTATTTTTATATAGTTTGTTGTCAATTCTCCGTTAATATCCATAAGGAGTTAGCAGCGATCTGAACACAGTATTAACCCAATAACCAAGTGTCATTTTTCAAACCCAATAGTTTAGAATTACGTATTGTTACTTCTCAATCGTGTGTAGCCAATTCTAGCTCTACTTTCTTCGAATGATGCAATTAGCGTTTTAGATACTCTCAAGCTTTGCATATTGTACTGTCTACTACTGTACAAAGTCTAGAGAAATACAGGAGCGCAAACGATGTAAATTTGATTCGAGGAGGTCAAGTTTTAAATTCTGATTCTTTGCCAATACTCGCACAGTGAAGTACGTACCTTAGTCCGCCCTCCAGCAGAGGTCTGTTCTCGCTTGACCCATGTTCGTCGCTGGATAGTGGCTGAGCAGTGGTCCCTTCGTGATATCTTTGCACATTGTCGGCCATTTTATTTCTTTTCGACAATAGTATCGAAAGTGAGCTGCCTCACTGCTCTATTATTATGTTGCGATGCGCGCATGCAAAATAGCTATTTGCTGTGAGCTGACCACTATGGGCTTCTATTGCGCACAGAATATCACGAATCATCGATATCAAGAATGAATATCGGTGACTTCAGTTGCGTATTGCGTGGGAGCGAGAGTTCGTGACACTGTAGAATGACACTGTAGAATATGTAAATATAAAATAAGTAATGATTGTGCCAGAAGTACGCGCCAGACCTCCCTCCTCCAATGAATTAAAGTTTGTGACTACCAAATGCCCGCCTATCATTGGTCACCAATTGAAATTTGACATTTTGGTGTTTGACAGCTGATCACATCATCACTCATACAGTCATACCGCCTTATTTAATATGATAAAAAAACAAATGATTCTCTCTCTCTCTCGCGACAATCAAACTGCACGTCATGTGAGACAGTTAGAGCTCAGAGCAGTCAGACCCTTTGGGGAGGGGACTCAATGGAGACAGGGGTTACTTAAAAAATGATATCATTTAATCAAATATGCCCTGGGAGGGCAGAATATTATTTTCCTGTCCCGTCTGCCAGAAGGCCATGTACACATCTACATATTAATATGATTATGTGAGCATAATGTGGTCCTACACGTACGCTCAATCAAACTCAACATGTTGCGATCAGTTTTCAAATCTAACCCAGCCTTTTGCGCTCTGAAGGTCTTGAACATGTATGTTTCGAAAATATCTGTTCCCGGTGTAGGATAATTTTAAATATCTACCCTATTGAAACCTGTTCGCGCGAAGTGAATATGTACCTTTTCGCACCCATTGTGCTGAACTTCTTCAAATCATCCATTTTATGTTCAGGCGGCAACTTTCGTCAAGCAATACTGAACTTCTTCGCAAAGCGAAGCCCGAGAGCCTCGGACAAACCTATATGCGCTGGCTGGAAACATATCCTCTAAAGACAAAAGCATTGTCCAGTGGAGTCATAGCTGGGTTGGGAGATATATTGTGCCAAGTAGGTTTTGAAAACAAATCTATGTTTTCTGCAGGAGATGGAAATAAAGGAAGCGAGTTTGGCTGGAGACGATTTTTCGTCTTCAGTGCACTGGGCGGACTATATCTCGGACCTGCACTGCATATGTGGTATGTAGTGTCTACGCCAACCCTGTCCAAGCCTACTAATACTATTATACAATTTTCCGTTTAGACAGACCCCAAGTATGTGTTATTTGCTATATACATATATATATATATATATATATATATATATATATATATATATATATACATGTATATATATGTATAATGTATATATATGTATAATGTATAATTATATAGTATGTGTGTATCAACTATATC